GGACGTATGAGTTGCGGCCACATAATAATAACCACTTTATATCAGCTTATTAGCGTTACCCAAGAGACACCACGGGGAGGTTGGCTGAGTTGTCTGCCAAAAATCTGTCTTTTGGTCAAGTTTGGTCATTTTATTTGCCAATGAGCGTTCCGTCGTTGTCATTTTAGTTTTTTTTATATTATTGAGAGAATTTAAAACTTAAAATGTTGACTAATTCAAACTGTCCGATCTCTTTGTTTTCTAGCTTTGACATTTGTTTTCTAATAAACGCTTCTTTCTCGCACAGTTTCTTAATAATTTACTTCTAAATTTTATATACGTTTCAGATTGAATTTCGAGTAGCATATCAAAGAAGTTATAAATAATTGGATGGCTAGTATAGAATGAACCGTTTAATTTTAAATGAAAACTTTCACAGCTGTTTGTGGTACGGTTGCAGCTGGCAGTAAACTATGCCCAAATATTGGGGGAACGTTGCGTCTGGTGAAATGTAGTTAAACTAATTAAATCCTATAAGATATTGAGTGGATCTCTTTAAAAAAATCATCCTGTATAACTAAATTGGCGATAAAAGTTTTAAGATAAAAAAGGTTGCACGGGCCGCAACTCGTACGTCCATCGAAAATTGCCGGGCCGCAATTCACCGGTCTCCAACATTGTAAACAACACCTCGGGCCGCAACTGACCTACAGCCTTCTTATTGTCCATACTTCTCAAAACACGAATGAAAATAGGTCGAGATTATAGGAATGTTCTAAGCCTAGAGGACGACAAAGCACGAAAGGTAATGCTGGACTTGCTCTTATTGAGAAGTTGGATGGAAGAAATTTGAGGTAGATGTATGTTCAGAAATATACTAGTACAGCAGGTCATAAATAATAATTATTTATGACTTTCATTCTAATTATTACAATGAAACATACTTTTCTATTTTGGGGAAATTCACTGTTTAAACTTGGATATCATAAAATTTAGCTTAAAAACGACAATAAATCCTATTGTAAATGTAATGCTGGACTTGATGTGAAAGAGACGTTGGATGGAAGAAATTAGAGGTAGATGAATGTCCAGAAATTCTAGTACAGCAGGTCCTAGCTAAATAGAAAAGACTTTTCTTTCTTGGTGGGATTTTTTAATTCAAATTTAATTTAAAACACAAAATTTAGCTTTAAAGTGACAATTGTGAGTCTGTCTACAAATAAATAAATACTCCATCATTATTCTTTACATTATAGTTTTTCATGACGTTTGTGACAATGGCGCTGTTAGATAAAGCCGGTCGCAAGATATTACTCGTGATTTCGGCTTGCTTGATGGGTGCTAGTCACATGTGTTTGGGCATATATTATTTAATTTACAAGAACAGCCCGGAGGCGGCCAAGTCGATAACTTGGCTTCCGCTTTTATCCCTCGCAGTCTATGTAACGGGATATTCCACGGGCTTTGGCGCTGTACCTTGGGTGGTGATGGGAGAGATTTTCTCCAACGAAGTAAGTGCATTCGAACTTTTTTATAACGTTTCCATTAGCAGAGATAGATTTATAACATTGTCGATTCTTTTAATTTTCAGCTGAAACCTTACGGCACAGGCATTGCCACCGCCATGAATTGGATATTGGTATTTTTTACTACATACATATCTAAAAATTGGGTCAGGTGGGTAGGCAATGACGGTATGTTTTTCACCTTCAGTGGCTTTTGCATATTAGGAGCCCTATTCGCTTTGCTGATCATGCCCGAAACCAAAAACAGGAGCTTGGCCGAAATTCAGTTGGATCTAATGGGTGAAAAGAAACAGTTAGATAATTTAACTTAAAACAAAAATGAATAGTAAATAAGTTTTTTCATCGCACATTGTTCTCATCATTTAACTTGGTCAAAATGATGCATATTTTATGGAAATGTTTATCATACTTTTATGAGTATATTTTTAATCTTGGTTTTCTAAATAAAAACATAACCGTTTTTTAGACATTGTTTCATAATTCATTTTGTAAACTACATTGACATCAAGATTTTGGGACAAAACTAAAATAAAGTGTTTTCTCGCTTAATCTAAATCTGGCCACCGATTAGTCTCTTGCATTTGTCTATTGTAGTTGCAGTCATCTCCAAAATTGTAAGCAACCTACAAAACAATAATTCGATTTTACTAATATATTTAAGAAACAGAACTCTTATAGCACCTATTGATAAGTTTACCACAATTGTGTGAATTATTTTCAGAAAAATCTTTTGAAGTACAAATAAAGATAATTTGTACGTTTAATAATTAGTTTATGTTATATTTATTACAACTTATCATTATTTCAAGGATATGTAGGATTTTAAGTGTAAGCTAAATGTAGATAACACAATGTTTTGTAATTGATTTTTATTACATTGTTGTGCATTATGTAGTTTGTAATTTAGTAACAGAGATAGTCGAAAAAAATATTGTTAGTATGCACGGAAGAATGAAAAGATCATCGAAAACCTTACACAGAGTGTTAAACAAGTTTAGAAACCTTTGATTTTATAGCCACTTTTTATTTCTTAATAATTTTGACTTTTGTTATTTGTATGTTATTAGGTATAGCTTTACGCACATTCAAAGTCAAAATCTAAAGTTCAATCTTTTATAGTTTGCGCATGCGCACTATCAACTATTGCAAGTCAATCGGGGACTCTAATAATTCATTTCTAAGAATTACTTATAATTCGATTCGATTAATTAAAATGTAATAAAACAATTTTTTCCTACCAAAAGACATTTTTGTATGACACAATATAGATTTACCAAAAAAATACATAAATTAAAATAAGTAACATAAGTAGATAAAACAAGTTAACCAACAACGATAACGTCCAAATATTTTTTTTATCATATTATATTTTGCCATAAACTACAATATAAAGCAAATAATAATTTTTATATACAACTTTAGTGAATAACATGAAATAAAAAAAGTATATAATCTGATTAAAATATCAAATATAATAATTTAATTTTTTAATTTCTTATCAAGCCTATCGTAAGTTTCTGTATTACCTAAAATATTTTACCTCTCCTATGTAAATCTATATTTATTAATACAAATGATCATTTTCATTAAGTTTAAGTTGAAAAAAAAACATTACAAATACAATTAATTTTTATAATTACCATTAATCATGCGGTATGATCATGCAATTCAGGAATTTTTCTGTACAACTAAATAGTTATTTTTTTTAAATGTACATACAATTTTTTAAAATAATAATATGAAGGAACAGTTTAAATGATAACATCATAAATATATATTTGTTTAATTGAAAGGAAGGGGGTCCTTCAATTTATAAAATGCATTTGTATAATAATTTATTAATAATAATTTGAAATTATACTAAAATCTACAATCATGTTAACATATAAAAAAAAAGTAACTTCAATATTATTCATTAAAATATACAACTTCATAACAAATCGTCGTTTATGATAAATTTGATAGTAATAGCTGTAAAAAATAAAACCAATTATTAGTAAGTAGGTACTTAACAATATACTGAATTCATATTTAATTTGTAAATTAAAGACGTTAGAAGTTAGATACCAATCGGATATTCTTATAAAATATAATTACAAAACAATTTTACTTATATTAGGTCTTAAATTAAATTCTTAAAATAATATTATTAATTAATCACTAAAGGTTATTATTGTAATAATTAAATATTATCAGAGTAAAAGTAAAAATTAAATTCAATAAAATACATCCATAAAACTTAGTTTCATTTTGATGCAATAGAAAAATTCAAAACTTACTATTTAAATGAATAACTCGTTCCATTTTGAAAACAAAAATATTCACATACAAATTAAAAATAAGACTTCCTTTTTTTTTGTCCGCGGTGGAGGAAAATTTTACTAAAAATGATTTTCTTAAACTTTTAAATTTATTTATTTTAGTTTTTAAATCTATACAAATTATTTATAGTTATAGTAATATTATAAACTATAAATAGTTAAAATTAAGTAAAAAAATAATATAAATTATTAATACCTAAACTAATAAGTTAAATATTATTAAAATAAATATCCTAGTAGATGAGTAAAATGTAAAGTCTAATCACAATATTATAAAACAATATTTTGTATTATCCATGATCATAAAACATTTACTTGTCAAATATTTTTTATAATTCATTATATTGTATAATATAAATAAAAGTAAAATGTGTACAGCTATTCAAAATGAATAAATAAATATGAAAACTATATTGTATTAAAATAAAATATTGAATCCGAAAATGTTGTCTAATAATAATGGTACTATGTAAGGTGAATCTACTAATATCATAGCAGGTCAGCATTCAACAATGCCCTACGTACCTTTCGGTAATCTCGCAACGACTATAATTAATAATCGATATAATGACGATTTTAACATGAAAAATTAAAGTTTCAAATGTAATCTCGACGCCGCCGCAACCAGAAGAAGCACTCAGAGTTGTCGAAATTTGTAATTTTTAAACAAATATATCACAAAGCTATTTGGCGTAAATCTAAATTATGGCCAATTTACTATAGAAAATAATGATCAGTATCAATGAAATAATAGCGGCTATGAAAATTAAAGGTTTCCAAACTCACCCATTTTTGTATTCTGTCACTTTGCACTTTCTGATTACCTATGATATTTCATTTGTTGCCACAACAACAAGAGTGACTTGTATTTAATTAAATGTAAGAGAAAATTGCATTATTAATTGTGTAACAATGTATTTTCAATTTATAATTATTTGTTAATTAGTATATAGAATGTTAAAGTTAAGTGGAAACAATAAATCACTTACTATTATTAGTTTCTGACACTTGTTAGTTTAAAAATTATTACTATTAAAGATCTTTTTTTTCTTGCAAATTATATGACATTAATATACACTTTTCTTAAGATATTTAAAGATATAGTACTCCGTGTGTTATTTTTTCAATCACCACCACGACCGTAGTTAGACAATAGGTATGATGCGAGTAATTTAAAACTGTCAACTTGTAAAAAAGCTTTAGATAGTATTATGATTAACTTTACAAAGGAACATATGAATGATAACATAACTAATCTAGTGCTTATTGTATTTATATTTGGCTTAGAGTGTGAGTTGGCATGTATTGGCCAATGTATACCTTATCCACTGTGAATTCTGTCAAACCGCTGTAGTTCTGTTGCGCTTACGTTGAATTTGTTGCGATTAAAGTTGTTAAACAAAATGAAGATCAATACAAGTCATTTGCGACAAGTATACGCTGCGACAGTAGGTTTGTAAATAGTTTAACTTTTAGAAAATAATATTAAAAAATAAGTGAAACATTAAATATTTAACTAGAATAAATTTGTCTAAACTAATTATGATTCATGGTGTAATTTATTACATGTTTAATTTCTAAAATTAAATAATTGATATTAAAAACTGATATATCCAGAGATTAATTATCGCTTAATTTGTATTAATAACATTTACAGCTACTTTAGGGGCCATGCTTATGGGAATGGTCATTGGATGGTCGTCGCCCGCTGTTGGATTTCTGGAATCTGGAAACTTCTATTCTCCATTTCCGGTGTCTAAAGCCGACACACAGATTTACGGGTCGGTTTTCGGCATAGGCGCGACAATCGGTGCTCTGCCTGCCGGCTCAGTAGCTAATATTATAGGACGCTGCATGAGCATGGTGGTTTTCGAAATCATCTTTATCGTCGGTTGGATATGCTTGGCCATTCCTAGAGGCGTGTGGATGCTAAACTTAGGTAGAACGCTTCAAGGGATTGGCGCTGGAGCTTTGTGCGCTGTCATACCTATGTATGTCGGTGAAATTTCAGAGCCTAATATAAGAGGTAAAACAATTTTTTTGGCAATAATACCCGATTTCATTAACCCTACACAGGCTGGTTATACACTACACCGATTCCGTTGACAGCTAATCGTCTCTAATACTTAATTGTTACTTAGTGTTGTTGAACGAAACCATAGTAAAAACTATTTATCTTTCTAGGAAGGTTAGGAGCCATATTTGAAGTGTTAGCGGTCTTCGGAGTTCTATACGTATACATAGTTGGAGCGTACTTCAATTATATGACGTTCTGTGCACTCTGTGGAGTATGGTCGTTGATCCATTTAATTGGCGTGCTATTAATACCCGAATCGCCATATTACTACCTGAGTAATCACATGGAAGGAAAGGCTAGAATGTCGTTGAAAAAACTTCGAGGTGGAATCGTCGACACTTCACGCGAACTAGACGAGATTAAAGTAAGCCGTTATTACCGAAGAGAATATAGTTTTTACAAATTAATAACCGTACATCCCCTTATCTCTAGAAAGCCATCGCAGATGAAAACTCCAAGGAATACACTTTCAGTCAAGTGATTTCCAGCGCCGTAAACCGAAAGTCTTTGTTCATCGGAATTGGTTGCATGTTCTTCCAGCAGACCTGCGGCTGTAGTGTGGTGATATTTTACATGAACGATATATTCGCATCAACCGGCAGCGATATGGATCCCAATACGGCGGCTATCATCGTTGGTTTTGTTATGGTAGGATTTTTTTTCGATAATGCTATTCTTATTGTCCATACTTCTCAAAACACGAATGAAAATAGGTCGAGATTATAGGAATGTTCTAAGCCTAGAAGACGGCGAAGCAGGAAACGTAATGCTGGACTTGATGTGAAAGAGACGTTGAATGGAAGAAATGAGAGGTAGATGAATGGCCAGAAAGATATGTCATAAATAATTAGACTAAAAATAAAAAAGGCTTTTTTTCTCGGTGGGATTTTTTTAATTCAAAATTATTTCAAAACAAAATTTACCATTAAATTTCTGTCCATAAATCACAAATGTTCCTTGATTACATTGCAGTTTTCCATGACGCTGGTGACAATGGCGCTGTTAGATAAAGCCGGTCGCAGGATATTACTTGTGATTTCGGCTTGTGTGATGGCTGCAAGTTACATGTGTTTGGGCATGTATTATATAATATACAGGAACAGCCCAGATACGGCCCAGTCATTAAGTTGGCTTCCGCTTTTATCCATTGCTGTCTACATAATGGGATATTCCACGGGTTTCGGCGCAGTACCTTGGGTGGTGATGGGAGAGATTTTCTCCAACGAAGCAAGTGCACTCGAGCTGTTATTATTTATAACGTTTCCATTAGCAGAGATAGATTTATAACATTGTCAATTTTGTTAATTTTCAGCTGAAACCTTACGGCGCCGGCATTGCCACCGGTATTAATTGGATATTGGTATTTTTTATTACATACATATCCAAAAATTTGTCTAGGTGGGTAGGCAATGACGGTATGTTTTTTACCTTCAGTGGCTTTTGCTTGTTAGGCGCCCTATTCGCTTTGCTTATCATGCCCGAAACCAAAAACAGGAGCTTGGCCGAAATTCAATCGGATCTAATGGGTGAAAAGAAACAGTTAGATAACCAAACTTAAAACACACATTGTTCTCATCATTTAACTTGGTTAAAATGATGTATAATTTACAGAAATGTTTATCATACTTTTATGAGTTTTTTTTTTATCTGGTTTTTGTAAATAAAAACATAACCGTTTTTTTAGACATTATTTCATAATTCATTTCGTAAACTACATTGTACATCAAGATTTTGGGACAAAAACTAAAATAAAAATTGTCTCGCTTAATCCGAATCCAGTCACAGATTTTTCACTAGCAGTTGTTGAAATCGCCTCCAAATTAACTGCCTGTAAACAACTTATAAAACTATAATCCGATTTTACTAATTCTTTTTAAAAATAACACTTATAGCACTTATTCATAAGTCTACTACAATAATTCTTTAATCTTCTGTCATGTTTTATAAAATTTGCGATTTAGCCTTTCATTGGCTCTTACTTTGCTTATAATATAATTATTATATTTCACATTTGGGTATTGTTAAAGAATTAAAACAAATTGCTTTCGTTGTTTTTAATATATGTTATTACATTTACCGCCATTCCGGTCGTTCACACTTCAGTGAAAATGTTGTGTATTATTTCTGAAGTTACTAAAAACATCCTTATCTATGTTCCAAACGTGTATAAATAGTAAGCGATTTATCTAAAAACATAATTACATTTTAATGTTTCTCAAGGAAATGTTGAAAACACAGGTTACACATGTAGGATATCAGAACATTATAATATATTATTGTCAAATGTTTTGATCATTTTTCATGCATCATATTACATTGTATAAATATGAAATTACTGTTAAGTATATTATGACTGTTAACAATTTATTAATTAATGGGCAGATAGACCTTCCCCGTGTAAGATTATTATTGATTATCGTTTAGGGTATCTTCTTCCACGCAATGATTATTCAAATTTACTCTTACAGTGCCCAGTCAATATTTTCTTTTGTTTTCAATAACAAAACGGCATTTAAAACTGTCTGGTTTGTAGTATTTTGGCGAATGATTTTACATTGTGTTTACACCGATTTTTCGAACCACCGAGTTCTCATTACAATAGCTGTGTCGAAGTACATGTGGTGAGTTTTGGGCGCTCTTTGTTTGCTATATATAATGTACCGTGTACTGTTTTATTTACTCGTCGCTGAATAAGAACAAAGATAATTATTGTTGAAAAACAATACGATTGTTTGGTAGATAATAGAAATGTACCAATGTGTGTGTTTTAAGTGACCTTCGTAGTTCGCACGGAAGAACGAAAAAATGGTTTGTAAGAATGTAACAATTTTTGAACGGTACAAATCGATCATTTGTATCATGTAAGCATGTTTGTTTGTTATTGTCCCATAGACAAGTATCGTTCGCATAGTATTGTAACGCAATGAATTTGCAGTCCAAGTGCTAAAATAAAAGTATTTGGTATTAAAGTATTTTGGAATGCGTTCAATTAAAATGAAAAAAAAATCGCTCACAATTCAGTTGTTATCGTTTGAATATTTTTACTTTTTTAATGTTGTTTTTCCATTTTATAATTTCTTATCATCCCACAATATTAAGCTGATGCGTACTGGGCCTGTTCCATTTTTATGCAGGACAAGGCGAAGAACAAGAAGTGTCCTCTCATTCGGGCACTGAATTAATTATATTACGAATGCAACCGATTAATTGCGTCGATAGAAAAACAATATTAAATATTATTACGGTCTTTAAGTGTATCGAATACTAAGTAACCTACTAGAATAGGTGCAATTATATTAGTTATTAGGTATGCGTTTATAACCCTAACGCAAATCCTCCAAGTATCTCGGCCAATTGGCATCGACATCAGTTATCGGGACAGTTTTTTAATATTATTCTATTGCTATGAATATATTATATACCTGTAACGGTTTGGTCATAGTAGAATACACTATGTTAATATTCATCCGAGTGCATCTCGCACGCGCGTCCCTCGAGGTTTTGTTTTGTTTTTTTTTTTGCAAATATAAAACATTATACTTGAAACATCAATCACACACACACACACACACATAATATTGTAATTATTGATATAATATGCTCGTGTCGATTGTGCCGGGCAAGTCCCCGACCGCGGAGTGTGTCCAAGACGAATGCCAACAGAATTGGCCGTGAATATTATATACCTACGATTATTCTTGTAACAGTGACTTTCGACGACCACAATAAAGGTTACGCCTTGGGAACATTAGCCATACTAAAGCGCACACAATAGCGGTTAATTTTCGGAAACGACATTTTTACATATTTTACCGACCGGTCCGTCGCGCCGAACAAAACGGCCAATTGCGGCGAAAAACGGTCTGCTAGCCGCACACATAGTGATTGTAGGTCGGCCGGGCGAAAAATATAATTATTTATATTTGCACACACACTAACAGTCCAGGCGTGTGTGTAATCCCGTATACAAGCGACCGGTGAGCAAAATAAGTCAGAACATGATTTACAAAATGAGAAGCAAATCTCCCCAGATCTTGTACGCCGTTTCAGGTTAGTAACACCTCAGTAATCGCACCGTAACAATAGCAATAATATCGTACTCACCCGATAAGACGTGTGCAATATTACAAAAGTGATTTACACTCTAAATTATTAGTTTTGTCATTGCGAATTACACCATGATAAATGTGAACTCGGTAAATGTCAAGTACGGCTTTATTATTTTTAACGTTCGTTGAACATTATTTATTATATACCTATATATTTTGAAGAAAAAAAATATTATAAAAGATTACTTATAAAAGTCTTTACGATAACACACAAATTAATAGATAAATAATATGTGTAACCTCAATGAGCGAATAACATTTTTTATATTAAAAACTATTATCTATAATTATGTACTTTCACAGAGGAATGTATTTAAAAGAATAATACATAAGTTTGTTTTCAAATAAATAAAAACTTCTGGTCAGTACATTTTGAATGTATTGGGAAAAACTTGACGCTTAAACAGAAAAAAACAAATGGATTCTAGTAAAAATCTCAAAAAATTAGACGTTTTGTCAATACATTTTATAATTTGACTAACATTACAAATGGTATTTTACAAAGTATTTTATTTAAATATAAACTCCTTCAGGCTCAAGACACTTCAACGAAATATTTGTTAACGTAAATTATAAATGCAAATAGATTACAAATACATAATTTAAATTAAATAAAACAAAACTATACAAGATGTACAGTGCAGTTCAACAGTACTAAAATTAAAAGCACAGTTGTACTTTAACAATGAGCCAAAGTGGCGAGAACGTTTACACGACTGAAAATTACCTATTAACACATTTTAACGAGTTGTTAATTATTCACCCCAGAAAGAAGAATTACTTTTGAATAGAGGTCGTTTTTCATTTCGATCGTCGCTCTTGTTTACTGCCCTATATTTTGCCAATAGATCATTGATTAACAATTGAAATTTGTCAACGATTTCCGATTCTAGCTTCATTGGGCGCATTCGTGATCGGCACGATTCTGGGATGGTCGTCGCCCACACTGCCAATGCTGGAAAGTGGAGAGGCGGTCAGTTTCGAGGTGACATCAGCTGGAGCGGCGACGGCAGGGTCCTTGTTCGGGCTGGGCGCGGTCATCGGAGCGGTGCCAGCGGGTGCCGTGTCATCGGCCTTTGGCCGCAAAGTGTCGCTTTTGGTTAGCGAAGCCCACGTGCTCTTCGGTTGGCTAATGATAGCGTTCCCACAAGCGATGCGCATGCTGTACATCGGCCGGATTCTACAAGGTGTAGGCTGCGGTGCCATGTGCGCGATTATACCCACTTACGTTGGCGAAATAGCCGAAGCCGACATACGAGGTGAGACGCAAAGGTCTAAACCATAAGTCCGTTCAAATGTGTTTGAAACGTTGGCGCAACGAGAGGAGAGCTAAGGAAGTCCAGAACTTCTAAAACTCTCTGAAAGCTCCCTCGGAATTTCATTATAAATGATAAACCTTACTCGGTATAGCCGTGCCCGATTGGTTGCAGACATTTTTTTTTAAAGCCCGGACGAGTTCAGAGGGATTTGAACTTGCCTAGCCACCCCTCTAGTTGCGCTGATGAAACTTTCAAGCACTCGGGGAAATGGCGCTACCGTCGCACAAAATCCGCTGGCGCCAAGTCTGTGTTAGGTTCATCAACCCGCCGTGTATTGTCCGTGATTGACAATTATTGTAAAATATAATATTTAAACGTGTTTAACCTGTCCGTACTCGCAGGCTTTCTCGGCGGCATGTATCAGTTGTTCATCGTCTCCGGCATTTTCTACTCATACGTGCTCGGCAACGTGTTGACTTACAGCCAGTTGAACTTTGCGTGCGCCATGTGGATGTTCGTGCACATCATAGCCGTGGTTTACATGCCGGAGTCGCCATACTATTTCATCCGGGCCGGCAAGACGGAGAAAGCCAGCGATCAACTGGCCAGACTCCGCAAGTACGGGCACGACTTTCAAGCTGAACTCAAGGAAATACAGGTGAGCCGCCAAGACCGACACTCCGAATTGTACACTCTAAAGCGATCTGCCTCTCTCTTTTTGTCTTCAACCCCAAGCTCATTAAACTTCGATTAGACAGTCGTCTTCTTTAGCAGTAAAACGACTAGATGGCCAATTCGCGATCGTGGCCGTACTTGTACGCCTTTGCAGTCTTTAGCTGGAGCCTGGACCTCATTTAATTCAAACCTAACCTGTTTTCGTTTTTGATTCTCGTGTATTGTATACTTTTGTGTTATTAATGTAAATATCTATATAAAAAGTATTTTTATTATTGCGTCCTTGTAGTTTAAATGTAATGTGACCCCCAACAGCCACGCAGATGCTGAGAGTACAATACAATGTATATAAACGGCCAGGCAGTCGACGAACGATAATGGGTCCAATATTATGAAATTCAATGCGATTTCCTGTACTGTTCATAGACATTCGTGGATGACGAACAAAAGAACCAATACACTGCCCGCGAAGTGTTAGAAAAAGACGTGAATCGCAAAGCACTGATAATAGGAGTGGGTTGCATGTTTTTCCAGCAATTGTCCGGCATCAACGTGCTCATCTTCTACCTAAAGCATATATTCGAGAGCTCCGGCAGCAACATCAGTCCCGCATTGTCCACAACTATCGTGGGCGTAACCCAGGTAAACGACAGCAGACCTCACCTAAATCTTACAATGGCACGGCGTTGTGCGTAGGCAATTCAAGTACTTATACGTTCTCACAACAATTGCAATACATAGGTACCGCCTAGGTGTAATGCCCAAACAGTACCAAACTTACATTATTTTTTTCCATTTTATGCAATAATTATACCAAAATTCAGTTAAGAAAATCTAGTATTTTCATATCTCAAAACACTATCACTTGAACTCACTAAGGCAATCGCTTGTCCACAAATCGCATTGATGCGACAGTACGGTTTAATGCATTACTTGAACGTTAAAAATGAGCCATAAAAAAGTTGAAATGAACGACCACAACTTTGTACTCATTATTCGCGTTTTCTATCTAAATTTACTTGTTTTTTTATTGAAATAAATTTAAAATTTGGTTACTAATTATTCCCAATTGGCGTTTGACATTGTACCGCACAGGATACATACAAAATATGGGAAACGATTAAATGCAACATAATGAATGAAAACTTATTTTATTTGGCGAACATGTCCTTGCATTATCAAATTACTTTAATTACTTTCATACAATGATTGTACGAATATGTATAATTTATTTATATAATTGTATAATTCATAAATGTTGTTATTTCCTATGAATTGTCCATAATATCACTCAAACGTAAATTTTATAATATTGTAAACAACATTAATAAATCAGTTATTAAAAATTGTTTCAAAGGAAGTCACATAATATAATATAGATGAACAAATTACAGACAGTTTTCTATTAACTGAAAAAAATCACTTAAAACCAAAAAAACTAATATGCACTGTATTTAAATACTAACGAAAAATCTACATTGGTGTCTTTACATTTTTTATGAATATATTTATAAATAGTTGTTTAAGATAATTTTCGTTTTTGAAAATATTTCTACCAGACGCACGTTTATTATTTGATTTGATTTTTTCTTTTATGCATATTTTAATGTTGAACGTTTAACTAAAGAGATGAAAGAAAACTGGAAGTAGTTGAAATGAAAATGCATGATGGATCTTGGATGTGTGCGGAGTGATGTATATAAATATACATAACAAACATCACATTATTTTAAAAGCTTAAAAGTGCTTAATTGCTTTAAAAAAATGTTCAATACTGACTTAAATTATTTTTAAAACATCAAGCAAATATTTTACCTTACAATCACAGTTTAAATTTAAATTTTAACTTCTAACTATATATAATACACATATGTATAATTTTAATTCGATTAAATTTCTTTATAGGTCGTCATGACATTCGTAGCGATGCTTGTAACGGACAAGTGGGGCAGACGAACGTTAATGATCTACTCGATGACGTCGATGGGCATAAGTTTCATGGCCTTGTCTTATTATTACTTTGTGAAAACTCACAATTTCAAAATTGCAGATTCTTTGAGTTGGTTACCGTTGGCGGCAATCATTGTCTATATCGCCATGTTTTCTGTCGGCTGTGGACCCTTACCGTTTGTCATCATAGGAGAGATATTCTCTTCTGAAGTTAGTAAAGTATTAAAAAGACCAAGTGTTTTTTTTTTTCCATTAACGAACAGATATAATCTAATTAATTTACCATAACTTTTATGTGTATTGCAAACTCTTTTATTGGTGGTACCAATAGTACGAACCATGGTTTAGTATATTGCTTTGAAACTTCAAATAGTACATACACATGAGGGCCAGGTGAAATAAATAGGATAATAAATTCACCTTTTATTGTTATAGGTACAACCAAAGGTGTTTATGGCTTAAGTGATACTGTGCATAATACATTTTTATGCGAAATTAAAAAAGTTTTAATTAAAATTCAAAAAGTTTTAATTAAAGTTCAAAAATATTGATTGCTTGTATTAAAAAACTGTAGTTGCCTGGTTTATTTACAGCCGTGTACTTTAATTAATCACAAAATGATTCGGTGTTTTCCTGGAACTACCCTTATGAGAAAGGAAATGATAAGTCTTAAAAATAAATTAGTGTTTTAGAATGTTAAAAAACCCGAATTGGGAAATATTTTCTGTTTTAATTACAGACTAAAATATTAAAATATTATACTTAATATTAACCATAATCAAACGTGTGTTTGCAGCTTAAATCCCTTGGTACGGGCATAGCCACTGCTACCAACTGGATATTAGTATGGCTAGTCACGTGCTTGTCCACTCCTTTGGACACATTGATCGGACCTAGTGGCGCTTTTTTCGTTTACTCGGGATTTTGTTTTTTGGGCATGTTGTTCGTGGTCAACCGAGTACCGGAAACGAAAAACCGATCTCTGGCCGAAATCCAATCAGACTTGGAGAAGTACTGATCAAGTCCAAACCGGTGATACGAGCCATTTTATCATCAAAGCGCGTATATAAAACAAATTCAATGTACATAAACACCGTTATAATTAACGAAATTGTAATTAAGTATAAGTATTTTTCGATTATTACAATTATTTATATAGCTGTAAGTTTTAGGAAAAAATCACATAATTATTAAAATCCATGTATTTATTGATACAGTAAGTAGCCATTTATCCAGCGCCATTAAGTATCATTACCATTATTATTAGTACGTTTACAAATATTAAAAAAAAATGTATTTAATGTTATACCTCAATAATTGTAAACTAATTTCGATTCAATTTTTTTTTTATCTGTTTTATTTGTAAAACAAAAATAACGCTGTTTTTGTTAAGTATGCAATTTTTTTAATTACATTTCAGATACCCTAATATATTATATGTCTAAAATTCATATTGAATATAATTTTAATATTATACTTTGTTGATGAATTGTAATGATGTAGTTAAATAATTGGTTTCTCGCTATTAATTCATATCGAGTCAATCAAAAAGTTAACTTTACTGTCCGTGTTACTATTCTTCTACATGATACGTACAATTATATAGAAGAAAAATTAAACGAGAATGGACTGAGATAGTTAGGGTACGTTAGAAAAAGCTACATTTTTTCCAAGTAAAAAGATAGGGGGCTTTTTTAAATAAAGACATGGAGATATTGTGTGTAGCAGTTAGGATATGGTGAAGTGTTGATCCGGTGGGTTGACTCGTAGAGGATAAAGCAAAAACGAAAAAAGCAGTAGTTTATATTATAATAATATCAAGATGTATTTATCCTAATAAAATTGTAATATTCTGTATAAATAATAAGTTTTAATCAAATAGATTAGCTTTAAAAAATGTAATAAAATGTGCCTTTGTATATAAGGATTTATAATTGCTGGAGGGTGTTTTTCCTTTCTTTTTGCTACAGGATACTTGGCAGATGAAACATTATTAATGAAGTCCTGAGTAATAAATACAAATGTTTAAATTATGCATCATCATTTGTAACAATGTATATATTTTCTTTTAATTATGAAATATAGTGTAAATAGTTTAGTTTATTTTAAGTGCTTTATAATAAAAGTCATTGAGAAAAAATATTCACGACGACTTTTATTTTTGCTGTCATTTAATTTAATTACATTTTTTTTTTTGTATATTTTTAGACATTTCTGATCTTAGTGAGTATCTAAACTCTGTACTTGTATAATTAACGTTTAAATAGTTAAAACGGTTGGATAAAAATAAATTATGTAAATATTACATTACTATTTAAAACGTTTTAAAAGTTTTTCTTGAATCCTAAAAGCGCAACAGTATTTATATTTATATAGCGAATAACATATAATAATTATCTATATGTATAATGTATAAAGTGGAGTTTGATCGCCGTTTTTTTTTTGTTTATACAACAATAATAACCTTAACACACGATTATAAACACATTTAATGATAATATAGTGTATTTTTATCGTTACTTAATATTTTTTATCATTTAAGCATTTGCGTGCAAGTGTTTTATTTTTTTTAATGATTGCGCGATAATCAGATCAAACTGTTATTGTAAGTTTCGTTTATGTCAAACGCGACTTTTAGAAATTAATTATCAAGAGGAATTATCGTTTTATTTAATGTGTTAACAGTTACATTTTGACTAAAAAAAATTACAGTTATTACAATGTCCACATCACACAGCCGTTTGCGGCGTTCATAATAAAAATCATTTAACGTTTAGCCTGCAATTGCATAATATACGTACTCAAGTTCGCCAGTCGTGGACCTCGAGGTCGTTCAATTGATTCAATTAAGACTTCTAAGTGACTTCACGTTATAAGGGAACGGCCGGCACCGCTTAAATACGACAATTAATAATACATTTTCTTCTTTTTTTTTTTACGAACACTATTAAAATATTTTCACTTTTTTTGCAACGGTTTGCAGTGACGTCCAACTGTGTGTGTGAAAATCTTCATAATGACTAAAAAACATGATCTTGTATTATACACATTGATTAATGAAAACTATAGCTGATTTATCTTATCCGGAAATTTAACGGTATACTTCAGTTTGAAGAAAGAAATCGTCTAATTCGATAACGTAGCCGTATGTCAGTTCAGTAAGATGGCTGACTGCGGCAGAAAAAGGCAGGGACATTCTTATTCACGTTTCTATACAACTTGTAGTAAATAATACGGTTGTATCAATTGCAAGAAAATAATAATAATAAAAACAATAATGAAACAACCTCAAGCTCAATTAATATACCTATGTAATTATTGTATTTTTTTAGTAGGTGAAGAACACTGGTAGTCAATATAATAATATAAACAATAAAAACTAAAATATATGGCGCAGCTACAGCTGTATTAATTTTTGCAACAACACAAAATTCACATTTAAAAGAAATATCATCGGTTTGGTACGTTTGCAAATAAACAATACTTAATGTATTGTACATTGCTTTGTTTGATAAACAGTGGAAAACTTATTAGTCTTACAATCGTGTGAGAATTAGGTAAGATTATTATTTTCAATCAACACTATAAGCAGTACTCGAATTGGGGAGGGGGGCGGGGGACTTGGCTTTTTTTTAAAGTAAAACGTTCCCCTCCTTTTATTTTTCCGATTCGAGCACTGATCATAAGTTATAACTATAAGACCGCCGTTGATGTACATGAAGTTGGCCACCCCTACATTATCTTATCAATTCCAAATTAGTGTCAAACTTTTGTTAATTAATTGTAATTTGGTTTTCAGAATTAGTAAATAATTTTTCCAACACAGTTTACCAAAATACTTTTTCGGGGGCCCAAATTCACAGAGCCCCCAAGTTTAACGAATCGAATCCAAACTGGTGTCAACATTTTGTAAATTAATTGAAAATAATTGTAAATCTGGTTTCAACATTTGTAAATAATTATTTTCGGTGTTATAACCAATATACCTACTGTTTTGGGGGACCAAATTCACGGAGCCCCCGACGTACGTGAAGTTGGTCGCCTCGCTTTGTCCGTTCAATCCGGATCTCCGCCAATATTTTGTAACCTATTTGCAACCAATTGCAACCAACTTGAAAACATTTGCAACCTAGTTCCAACCAGGTAAACGTGCTATAAAGTATAATGTGCTATAATTTCTTTATATAAGAGACACAGTAAGTATAATTATTAATTATATATTAAATATTATACAACATTTATACAACCATGAATTATAAAATCGTTTGTAACATTAAGCCTGATATATAATCCTCCTCCATAATCCCTCCATAATTCTCCCTCATCCGCCACCTCCGTAATCCCTCTATAAATCTCCTCCATAATCCCTCCTACCAAACATAACCAAATCAAACCTAAACCAAGCCAAAAATAAACCAAAACCATACGGAAGTCAATCCTAAACTAAAACTATGTCAAGCAGAACTACACCTAAACCAAAAATCCCTCCATAATGTTATAATGACGTCAGCAGTGTGTCACAAAAAGCGACGGGCAAATTTATAGAGGAGGATCATGAAAGGATATAGGGGAGGATTATGGAGAATTATGGAGGAGTAACGTGGAGGGTTTATGGAGGAGGATCATGGAGGTTTATTTATGAATTATAGAGAATCATGAAGGGTTTATGGGGGTGAATCATGGAGGAGAATTATGAATTTTGGAGGATCATGAAAGGATAATGGAGGGATTACGGAGGAGGCGGATGAGGGAGAATTATGGAGGGATTATGGAGGAGGATTATATCAGGCTTAATGTTACAAACGATTTTATAATTCATGGTTGTATAAATGTTGTATAATATTTAATATATAATTAATAATTATAGTTACTGTGTCTCTTATATAAAGAAATTATAGCACATTATACTTTATAGCACGTTTGCCTGGTTTGGAACTAGGTTGCAAATGTTTTCAAGTTGGTTGCAATTGGTTGCAAATAGGTTACAAAATATTGGCGGAGATCCGGATTGAACGGACAAAGCGAGGCGACCAACTCACGTACGTCGGGGGGCTCCGTGAATTTGGTCCCCCAAAACAGTAGGTATATTGGTTATAACACCGAAAATAATTATTTACAAATGTTGAAACCAGATTTACAATTATTTTCAATTAATTTACAAAATGTAAACGGGTGTCACTGTATTGATTTCTTTTTAATGAGTTAAGTTAAGGGTATAATCGGGCGTAAGGTCAGGCCAAGGCCTGTTTGGCTTGCGACCGCTAGTATCGTCCACAATTACAAGATCCACACCGAGTATGGACAACAATAGCATGAGAATATAATATAATGGGATATCTGTAGTGTCGCAACGGTAGTCGGTAACCTTCTTTTTCGAGAGCCTGGAAACCCTATTCTGTTGTTTACATATTATTAAAAATGAAATATAATAAATTGATATTATATAAAATACAATTCTTGTTTGACAAGTTTACGGGACATCACGGGAAAACCACCGTTTTACATAACACAGCCGATGATCTTGATGGTTATTACACCTGATAAACATCTACAACTTAGGCATAGGCCGTGTTATTCGCTGTAATGTAATGTCGAAATAATCGTTTTTCAATGTTAATTTTGACTATTTTAGGACTAATGCTGATATTTTGTCGGCCAACACGTTTCTTTAAAATTGATTTTATTCGCGAAATTCATTCTTGTATCCAATTGAATATAATAATAATATTGTATGTTACCCATTTGTGTATAACGCCTATCCTAAACGATTGTGCGGGTTTCATATTATTAATCTACATAAATAACATTATATTGTATATATTATTATTATTTTACCGACAGATTTATTTGCAGTCTTGAAGGAGACTCGGACGTTTGAGGCGAAGGCTAAAAACGGAAAAATTATTATTATTGTAGCATATTATTAATTATTATTTTATTTCTATGGAACGGAATTTCTGTACATATATTTACGCTTAACATTGATTTTATTAAATGTATATTATAGTTTTCGAGTAGCCCCGCGTGAGGCCAATCCGGTATAGGCTTTATTACGTCTATATTAATTCCCTTGAGACTAATGGCGTTTGGCACGCGTTAACATCGTTTAAATTTATTCCATTGCAAGTCTATGTAGTACATAATATTATTATCGACGTGTTAACGGTTTATATTTGCTTGGCATAACAATCGAATTTGATTGCTGTAAATCTAACAGTGGTGTGATTTGCTTTACAATCTTGACCAGCAAGAGCTTGTTGAA